AATATACGAAATTGCAATCTTTACTGGTATATGAAAATTCCTAAACAAAGTAAATTTAAATTTAGAAAACAAATTTAAATATCTCTGAAATGTTTGACAGCTTTTCGAGTCCAGTAACGAACCTCCATTTTCTGTTGCGACTATATGGTCTTAAAATAATGTATGTTGGCTTAGGCCTAAACATACATCTGTACACAAGCTGCCACGCACATCCTCGGTGTTGTTTGTTTTTGTACATTGAACATGAACTTTTACAGTGGTTATTAATATATCATAGAAAAGATACATACACAGGAGATTCTGTGTCCAAAACTTAAATGTTAACACCTTTATTTCAACACATGTGTACTTTCGTAATAGAGTTTTTATTAATGTTAAATTCTAGTAAGAGCTGTAGTTTTTAACGTCATTTAATCGAAGTGCTCCAAAATATAAAATGAAGAAAGTGTAAATAGGTAAATGCTTCTACAACGTATATAACGTTTTGTTTTAATCTTGAACATTGACGCCGTATGAAAAGTCAACGAATGTCTTCCGATTTAGGGCATGCTCATTTAATATTGATTTTGCATTTTATTTGAGAAAATTTATTCTGGTAAGTTGAACATAAGTGCTAATGCAGTGTTTTCCAAACGTATTAAAGCTGAGGACCCCCGTATCATATGGAGGTCAGTTGGCGAACCACCATGATAACAAAAACTGCAAATATAATATATGTATTCTTTTTTGGGACCTTCCTGAAGACTCCTTGGCAACATGAGACGGATCCCAAAGGGGTCAGCGGACCATAGTTTGAAATCCCCTGTGTTAATAAACGAATCTTGTTTTAAGTCGTATTTTAAATGATGTAAATTATCACGAACATTATAAATATGAAATATCTGAGTTTGATATTTTAAAACATAATGAAAATAGCACTAGGAATATTGGTCGAGATTATGTTGACGAGTAATAATACAATGTCTGAAATAGTCTATATATTCCAGGATCAATGTCTTCGGGGACAGCAATAATCTCTCTCTCTCTCGTAATCAAAAAGAACAATCCGTCTTATCGTAGTCAGTGAATTCGTAACCATCTTTATTGGTGATGAATAGTTGTCATCTAGCGTGAATTATGCGTTATGTTTGCTGAAGTGTGGCCATGATTGGATAAGGTCATACAGTTTTGTTCCCGGACATGCTGTCTGGCCAACATTGCGATGCCCATGGAGAATATAGCTGCTTGAAATCTTGTGATGAGCCACACCACATGCAATCAATTCCTTAATGGCGGTTAGAGAGGCGTTGTTTGGCACGTGATCAATGAAATTTCCTATGACGCAAATTCCTGAAGTAAATTTGAAGTTAGAGGCAAAACTTTGCTGGTGGAATTGCAAGAACAGACGGTGCATGAAACATTGCAAAAAAAATCCGGTATAAGGGAACATTCATTAAGGATTGACCTAAGGAATAATAGATAAATATATGATCGCTCTTATTATTTTAATAGTTAAGCAGCCTATATGTCAGGTTCATTATGTCACTGTAAAAATAGCTTATTTTTTTAATTACATATTTTTCGTTACGTCAAGATTGGATTATAGTCTGTTTCCTCCATTTATCATCTCTGGGTGATGATAATGTGTCAATTTAATCTGAATATACCACCATACCTATGCACGCTTATTTTTCTTTACTTATTGTATTGGCTCTTTTCCATGACTATGTGTTATGTATAACTATATTAGGCGGATAACCGTTGTTAGTAATCAAGTTAAAAGCCTACCTGACTAATGTCAACAATATATAACATAATTGTAAATAATACATAACATAATTAATATGTCTCTGTTTTCAGGTTATATATTGGTCATTATTAACTGGATGTTAAAAAAATACAGATCTTGAAATCAAGGTCCAGCTGTCAAAACTTATGACTATTCTAGAAGCAAGTTGTTTACGAATTTGGAAAATTGCCTGGCTCTGTGATTGTTACTTAAATTTATATATGTATGTTCTTTACCTACCACTACTCATTTCTGTCTTGACATGAGTCGTTAGAGGAATCAGTTTTAGTTGTGTTTCAGATAAATTTGATTTGATTTATTTTCAGTTATTCGCTGGAATTACAAAGTGCTCAATATTGTCAGTCTAAATAAGTTTTTTGGGTCTTTTATGAATTCATTCAAAGACATTTCGGATTATATAATTGTGACAACAGCAAGGCAGTTGACACTTTAGCATATTTGAAGCTATTGGGACATCAGTATGTTCAATACTGAAGTTTATTCGAAACACTATTTTAATTCATTTGGAACTCTATATATTTGGACTTTTTGTGATAGAACTGTTATGTCTATTTTACAATTTAATTCACTGTAAGTTATTAGATACATTTTACAAAATTTATTGATTTAAGCTCTTTTCCTTTACTTTCTATCGCAAAGTCGTTAAAACTCACAGACACACACAGACACACAGAGTAATATTTTATTTGTTCTTTAAGGATCTCCAATCATTACGTGGCAGAATGTTAAAACAGTTGAATATAAACTTAAATTGTTTATATGAATTCCGTTATTTTAAGCAAGTGTAAAACATCTTGATCCGCTTTATGTATTACACACAGAGTGAGCACAGTGTATTCCGCAATTAGGAAAAAACCTGGAATTTTTAAAAATTTAACAAAAAACGTTTGATTTATTACCTATTTTCCTTGGGTTGACGCAGTTCAAAAATGCATATAAATACTTTCGAGTGCAGAAGTTTTTATATTCGTATTCATATGATAATTAAAAGTTGCAAGAAGAATGGATTTGATACAAATATACAAACTAATTAGGACTTACCACTTCACGTTAAAAGAATCAAGGATCTAGGAGAACAGAAGTTTAAATTACATCTATTTTTTGTTAAATTAAACTGCTAACTTAGCTTGTTAAAACCCAAGGAAATGACACAATAAAATGTACTCTCTAGTTTTTAAACTGCGGCAAGGCATTGGATCATTGCAAGCCGCACATGCAACACCCACATATCTGTTTAATATTGTTAGTCTGATATCACAGCTAGCGAGATCATTTGCAAATATCGTCGAACAAAGAAACATTGCGTAACAACAGATGTAATTGTACTATGCGAAAAAGAAGAGAACTAAACAAGGTAAAATGAGACCATGAAAGAACTAGAAAATAGAGATAAACAACATGATCAGGAAAAGCTTGAAAACGTAAAGGAATCCTGGATAGAAAGACATTGCTGCACAATTGAAGATAGTCTAAGTAGAAATGACAGCAAAATGGCATATCAACTGATGAAAGAGCTTATAACACATAAACAAGGGAAAACTATCTCCATTGAAGACAACTCAGGAAAATGCCCCACAGAAGATCAAAAGATTATACAATCATAAGACCCAAGGGAATCCAGCAGTACTAAATTGCCGTCAGGAAGAAACAAATCGATGACAACCATATTCCTCACGAAAAAGTACGAATTGCAGTTAGGTCACTAAACAATGAAAGGAAGTCGGCATTAACAAATAATAGCAGAGCTCATTTAAGCAAGAAAAGAGATAGTCAAAGAGATAGTTACAGTCCTAACAACAATTTGCAACAAGATGTGACCGACAAGGGAATGGCCCATCACACGAATTCAGTCCTTGGTCATCGTGCTCCCTAAAAGGCGAAATCTACAGCTCTGCCAAAAGTACAAACTCATTAGTTTGATTAGTCACCCGAGCAAAATCATGCAAAAGATAATTCTTAACAGATTAAAGCCCCAAGCATAGAAAATTATTGATGAACAGCAGCCTTATTGGCAACTATGAGGAAGTACAAAGATAGCTCATAATTAGTACAAGTTGTTGAGCACCTATATGAAAAAGCCACCAGTTATGTCATTAAATGCAGCAGAGGAGATTGGTTTCGAACAACAGATGGAGTCAGACAAAGATGTATACTGTCACCTACAATCTTCAGCATGTTCCTGGACATATACTGGTAAGAGTCATAAGCTTCATGTACTTGGGATAAATTATCGCAGATATGGGTTTCAGACCAGATCTACTCTGCAGGATTGCACAGACAACAGTAGCAATAGCAAGGATGAAACCAATATGGAAAGATACCAGCGTTGCGTTTGGTACAAAAATATGGCTGATGCGCTCGACTGTCAAATCCATCTTACTGTATGCTTTGGAATCAAATACATTGACCAGGTAACCATCAAAGAAGTCTACAACATGATCAAATGAGTCATCAGATCCTATATAGACCTCTTGACCGCTGTATCAAAACACAAATTGAAGTGGTACGGTTGTGTCTCATATGATCATTTGGACTGGCAAAATCAGTCTTGCTGGCACGGTGCGAAGATATAGAAGAAGAGGCAGATGGTTAAAAAGAGGTGGTAATGCAATATTAAGAGGTGGATATGCATGGGATTTAGAGATTCCCAAAGAGCCGTAGAAAACAGGGCAAGATGGAAAGAATTGTTTGTAGAGTCAGCTGTGATGCCCCAACGGCCTCTTTGATTAAGGGATTGATGACGACGACGACGACGATGATGATGATGATGATGATGATGATGATGATGATGATGATGATGATGATGGGCAAGTGGTCTTTAAAATTGATGGAAACAGAATATGATGCTCAGACATAAACATTCAAAACATTATGAAAAACGAAATACCAATCGACTCACAAATATATGAAAAAATGATGTGACCAGTGAGCTTTAAAAATAAGTATATAAAAAACGTTTCTTCAGGTGTCATCTGCGTATGAAAACAATCTGAACCAATAGCCTTCAAATGCAAATGGAACATTACATATCTTTATATATTTATTTCTGTATTTACTTCTTTATTTTGAGATGCATTACTGTTTACCTTTGCCTTCTTGAAATTAAATCATACACATTGTTTTGTCAGTAACCTTTTATGTAAATTTCTGTGAGAAGCATCAATTGTTACTAAAGCAAAGATAGCTTAATGACATCAATGACAAATGCCATGGGGTCCTAGAGGTTAGAGTTTCCGCCTCGGATGTGGAAGTTCATGGGTTCGATCCCCGGCTGAGTCATATCAAAGACTTTTAACAATTGTACTAACAGCTGTCTTGCTGGCGCTCAGCATTAAGAAGTTAGTGTTAGGACTCGTGGGCCTTGTGTCAGGATAATGTGATTGGGTTTGACATCGTGCTACATGTTTGCGGCATGATGCCCTAGTGCTAGACATCATTGTAAACTGCTACACTGCTGAAATCGTAGCGATTTGACTGAAACTCTTAAAGCTATGTTAAAAATCCAAATCACATGCACATATATTTCTCTCTCTCTCTCACACACACACACACATACACATACACAAATGTTGCGAATAAGAAGAAAACCCACCCCTCATTTCTTCTGAAAAGGTTAAATTAATCAGTGTCTAGTGTCTTATGAACCAAAACTATACATTCTTTGTTTGACTAAATTTTCATCTCCGTTAATAACGTAAATACCTTTATAAAATATCATATCATATCATATCATATCTATCTATCTATCTATCTATCTATCTATCTATCTATCTATCTATCTATCTATCTATCTATCTATCTATCTATATATATATATATATATATATATATATATATATATATATATATATATATATATATATATATATATATATGTATGTGTGTGTGTGTGTGTGTGTGTTTCATATTGTATAGAGTCTACGTATTCACAGCCCACTACACTTTAGAGCAAGTTACCTGCAAGTCACAGATAAAGAAAATCTTACCTAGACCAACGCTATTGTAGTTGTATGTATGTGCACCGATTTCATCCCACCCTCTGCCTTCATACACATGGCCGTCTTCCCCGACGATGAAACTGTAGCCGATATCTGACCAATCTATAACATTCGTAACAATTAAATATGAATATACGAAGTTCTTGTTTGGATGTATTATGGTTGCTAGTCAAAGTGTTCGAATAAGCATCCATTCCAGAACAGCGATCTCTTCTCCCAACCTGAGATCTTGATTTCTCATAACAGAAATTAAGGATTTTCCATCCATGATCTATAGAAGCGATTCTAATAGTCGCTTTAAGTATTGGAATCATGGGTACAGGTGATCGTGAAATTTGTTTGCAGGTTGAGATATGTTTTCTAAATGTTTAGAAATAGATTTTCTTCGGATTCACCAAGAGATCTTGTATTAAAACTGATTAAGAGAAACTCATACAGAAAAATTGATGTTCCCAGAAAAGCAAAAAGAAAAAAAACCGGAAGGTTGGAGGACAGAATATGATCATTATATCAACATACATCGTCTACTCTGCGTTCATTGGGCCAAGAGCTTCAATCAAACTACCTTGGCGCAATATAAACCTTTTAAATTTATGTTGTATCGTAAAGCACCAAACTTGATCAAATCAAACTAATACGGGGTTCGTTGCATACATATGGCCTGCTGATATAGTTTTTGAATATCACCTTTCTGCTTTCTCTTTGTTTATGACACAATTGCGTAAGGAAAGGAATGGTTTGTAGAAAGTGCTGTGATTTATTTGTATCAGACATGACTAAAAGGTAAAATATTCTTCAAACTTAAGCTTGTCTTGTAATTTGCAGATATTGACCAACTTGGAATAAGAGGAAATGTAATGTTCGTGATTTAATTCATGTACAAGACAAAATATGAAGATGCTATTGAGATCTGGAACTTAATGTGTATATGACGATCCGAAGAGACTATATTGCGAAGATTATTACAGAAGTGCTATGAGGACAAACAAATGTAAATCTTACCATGATAACTCCTTTCACATGGTATATAGTCAATTATCATTGCACTGAGATTATTATTAGAATCAGGGAATTCGACGAGCAATGTAAACATTTTAATAAAAGAAATAAAGATTTTTACATGAACGTAAATCGATGAAGAATTTACTGGCGGAGTTTGTTACCTTGCTCCATCCACACATTTAGTTTGAGGATCAGATATGTAACGTCCCATTTCATCGAAACACGTTATAATCTTAGTAACATATACTCCAAAAACTGTAACTGTATTTGGTTTGGTATTACACGCTATATACCAATTATTGTCAAAAATTCCATAATAAAATACGCTTGTTCATAAAGTCCGAGGAGTTCAATTGCATAAATGTGAAAATTAAGAAATAAATAATCATCAATATTCATTCGGACATAGAAAATGTGCTTTCTAAAATACCACCGATTCTTATTGAAAAAACGTATTGAAATGGCAAAACGTGAGAACACTTGCTGATAGTATAGTAAACATTTTGGATGACTTTCGATGATTTCGGAAGAGATTCGACATACTCACAACACATTAGATTATTTTCAAGAGACATACATTTAGAAAGGATTAATGACATAGCTTTATGTGTGGTGAAGTGAAATAACATAAATCATAGAAGATAGAGCTACTTGAGTGAAATAAGACTGGTTGCCAATAAAAACTTTTATTTTAAAATTCATGTCATAAACTAATTATTACTTACGGTGGCCGTCCATGTGATAATTTTGATAAGAGCGCACTTTTGCGATGCAGTCAGTCTTGGTATGGCAACCGGGAGACGCCCCGTGGTGTATGAAGACGTATTTAGGGATCGCTGGAAGGTGTCCTGAATGGCTTGTTGGGGCCCTGGCTCCCCATTCGGCACGGGTTACAATATGTGGACAGCCGCTTAGCTGAACTGATGATTTGATATGTGAACAATAGATTACCGTTAAATAATAGGGTCAGTGATCCCCAAACATTACGATAGAAGATACTTTTTTATTATTTTATTGGATTTTTCTTTTTTTTTTAAATAAAGCGTGTGAGATTATTTCATACTTTGATTTTTGTCTCTCTCTCACTCTCTCTCCATATATATATATATATATATATATATATATATATATATATATATATATATATATATATATATATATATATATATATATATATATATATATATATATATATATATATATGACAAAGTATGTGACTCAGATACTTTATTTGTTCACATCGTAGCGATGCGAAATGTATGTTAGATGATAATTCTTTTTGCAGTACAGTTTCTTATGAGACTTTGTTGATAATTACATCATCGTAGAAGAAGCGACATCATATAGAGAAACTGTTGATAATTACATCAAAGAAATTTACTTCCACGACCTAGTACTTGTTAGCCAATGAAAAATGAAAACACATACCAGTTTCAGGATTACTTCAAATGTTTGACTTACCTGCTCTTCTGCGTTTGTCTAAGATGCAAGGTTTGATGTTCACGAAGCGTTTGTTTATCCACGCTTTCTGTAACAAAACATTTATTATTTAGAAGAGCGTTGTATAAAGCATAAACATTTAGATAGGTACAGCATGGAATCAAATATATTTTTGTACACGATCAAAATGAATACATACTGATAATAAAACCGTATTTGCTACTGATATATAGGATTTTCCAGTTAGTAATATTTTGAAAACTAAATGAATCTATCTAACACGGTGTTAAAGACAATGAACATTATTCTCAACGGTTTGTTTAACTTGAGTTCCATAAAAATCTAAACAAAGCAAGCATGTCGACAATTCTTACGCTAACGGAGTTTAAACTCATAAAAAATTCGTAAACAATGATGCACAAAAGTTTTAGGAGAAGAACAAGAGACGAAGTCATTTTTTTGCATTTAAACTTGTTTCATAGGACAGTCTACAACTTTCACGCTGTTATTACTTTGTATTTACACATGAGTAAAGCGATCCTATCTGAATATGTTATTATATTTCACTATCTATTTATAGTTATATGTGTGGTGATATAAGAAAAGATAAAGCATGTGGTACTTCGTGTTAAGATGGGAAAGTTCATTATGCACATCTGAATATTGACATTTGTTTCATAATTTTGTAATTTAGCGTATAGAAATAAACAAGAATATTGTATTTATTATACCAATAGTTTCTTACTTCAATTTTGAACACAATTCTGCATGTACCTGTCCATTGTAATCAACGCTCGCCCATTTAATTCCATCTAACCCAATCTCGTCATGATCGTAATATGTAAGGCAGTCTCCAATTGAAAGTGATCTTAGAGCCTGACTAGTATGACTGGCTCCAGATAAGACATTTAAAGAGATTTCGGCACATGCACATTGTCCAGCGTAAACCTCTTCAAAGTACGCGAGTAAAGCAAAGCACACCAAAAGCAATGAATTCATCTGAAAAATTAAATTATAGGTCTGTTACATTTGTATATATTAAAACTATTTTAGGTTTACGTCCGTCGTTTTTGTCTAATTTTGTTGTTTTATCTAAAATTGTATATTTTTATATTTTAAAATTTGTGACTATTAAGGTCTATATACTTTATCTATCTATCTATCTATCTATCTATCTATCTATCTATCTATCTATCTATCTATCTATCTATCTATCTATCTATCTATCTATCTATCTATCTATCTATCTATCTATCTATCTATCTATCTATCTATCTATCTATCTATCTATCTATCTCTCTCTCTCTCTCTCTCTCTCTCTATATATATATATATATATATATATATATATATATATATATATATATATATATATATATATATATATATATATATATATGTGTGTGTGTGTCGTTTGGTTTGTCGATAATATAATCCATACCGTCATATTTTATCTTTATCTTTTAATATAAGTCCTCGACCGCTTTCCTAAAAGACAGAGCTAACAAAGATAATATTAGCAAAAATGTTATTACTTTGATACGCAAGATCATGATATTTTTGTTTAGATTAACGTTCTCATAAATAATTTAACGAAAGTTTGTAATATTTGAACGAGATTGTATCATTTAATATTATATTTCACCAATAAAGGCTATATTTTAAGTGTTAGTGTTTTCTTAGAGTATGTTAATTTTTATCCCATTAGTGTTTTTCTATAAGAACTCAATTTGAGCTTAACAGAACCTACGCACGTGCATAATATCCTAAGTACATAATGCGTTCACATAAGTCATGTGTAATCTCCTAAGGTATTAGAAGGAGAAGGAGAATCTTCAG